TGAAGTACTTGATTCTCAAAGTTTATTAAACTGTCTGTAAAGCACCTTGACTTATTATGATAATGACCTTTTATTATTTGATTAAGTGCTTCATCAGGGTACCAGCATGCTAAAACCTCTACAAATAGAAGGGAGAAAATGGTTCCTGCCTCAGAGCATTTGCAATCTAACACATTACGCAAATACACATAATTGTGAGCTTAGACAAACAGTTTACAAAGAAACTCCACCGTTTAGAAATTGCTCACGATGCTTTTCTCTCTTACAGGAAGGATTGAGTAAATTGAGTAGAGTGAATTAAGCACTCTTGAAACATCTTGGCAGTGTTTTCATTTTCTGCCCTTCATTCTGTCCGTGAATGCTCTGGAAGACCAATTTTATGTCAATATCCTAAACCAACATGGTTGAAATTGGTAAGAAATTACATGTCCCATGTAGGGTTTAGCTTATAGAATAGTACAGGTGTAAATGAGCAAGTGTTGGATGAGATACTTCCTCTTTCTTTAGGAAAGTCCCTAGTGAACATAAAAAGGCATTATTTTTTTCTTAACCAAGAAGAATTAATCTGAGAATTAAAGCTTGTTATAACAGAGTACGTCTTAAACTATCATTAGGCTGTAGCCTGGGGCGTGGGACATGGTAGCATCCATCCAGTACATCCTTGGACTTGATCAAACAGAATAATGTCAGTTTGCTTTTCTGAAATGTATGGGCAACAGGTAAGGGTTTTTTGAATCAGTGCTGCCATGTGGGCCTCATCAGCGTTTGAAATTCTTGAAGCTGGAATATCTGCCAGCTGGTGGTGAACTGTTTCTCCATACATCCCGTGTATAAAACAGTTTATAATTTCAATATAAGCACAGTCTATAACTTCAGTAACACCAGTAGGCAGCTGGCACAAGATCAACAGTTGTTTCATGGACCTGCTGTCAGTCCCAAGTGCAGAGGTCCCTGTCAGCTTGAGAGACCTTTCCCAGCCTCAGCTGGGGCAGTATTCAGCTTATAACATCTCCATTCAATAAAAATGCATTGTCACTGATGGCAGCGTAGTGTGTTCAAGTGTAAATGTGCCTGTTTTCTCTCACTTCATGAAAAGCACCTTGGTTTTAGATTAAAATAAAGTTAAAACAATTTTAATTAATTGTTTCAAAAGTTGAGCAAAACATGAGCAACTCAATTATTATTATTTTCCTGTGCCTCTGCTTACAGACAAATGTAAGCTGACAGGTTCAGTGCTAACTTTACTCATGTTATATATATATGTGATACATATGATATGATGATATCCTATATCATGATAGATAGATAGACAGCCAGATAGATATAAACACATGATATTTTCATGGTATCATATTTTCATGATATACGTCTGATACTTTCATTTCCAGGCCGCAAATCATTTTGGAATTGGAGCTTCAGGTAGATGAGTAGGCAGCAGCCAAGATTTTTTTGTTACTGGAGAAATTCCGACTGGTAAACTGACACCAGGTACTGTCTTCTATTTGACAGTAATAACATAAAGAGTTACCTCGTTCTTTTTAGCAGCAGTCCTCTGGTATGCACAAGTTATTAGCTTGCCAAATGTGGTGCCTCGTCTATTATCCTCTGACTGAAGTACTTCTTGTTGTATTGATGTGCTTTTCTTCTAGGAATAAACAGTGCCAGTTAGTATGTTTGACCATTAAATATCTCTTCTGCCTTGGAAACATACAGCCATAGGGAAGGAAAATGTGATGACAACACGGAGGTCCAAATGAAATACTTGTTTACAGTTTATTTTTGTAATTCTGGAGAGAAGGATTTTGTGTTCACGACTGGAGATACGGACTCCTGAATAAATCCAGCTGAGGAATGGTCCTGCCAGTTTTATATTATAAGGGTAGGAAATGGTGCTTGAAATACTGCTGTGGGATGAGAAATCCCACTTTCAAAGGAATGCTGCAAGAGATGTTAGACTTCAAAGCTGGAAGAAGTTATTTCAAAAGGCTCCTGTCACGAGCATTGGTTTTCAAAGGGTTTTGGTGATTTAGTGGTTATAGGAAGTTTAAAAAAGCCTCAGGACTGTCTCCTCCCCAGCCCTCACCAGATTTTCACAAGCACGCTCCCAGCAGTGTTGGCCTCTGAGCTTCTCCTCTCCCTGGGTAGAAATCTATTATTGTCCTGTTCTTATGCTGGAGCTCACAGCTCTGGCTGTGGCATATGCACCACAAGCTACTCCAGGTTATTTCTGTTCTCTATACATTTCTTCTGGAAGTTTTGCATCAATAAAGGAAGAGGCCAGAACCACATCTCAAACTCGGGGAAAATCTGCGTGAAAAGAAAGTAACGCAGCAAGAAGTTTGCCCACATACTACCCTTTTACCTACATGCTTAGGGCAGGGCCTTTCTACCAGTGTCCTCTGCCCATGGAGACAAGAGAGGCGACAGGTCTTCTCTTCCCTCTTCCCTATCTTCAGGGAATGCCCTTTCTATAATCCCAGACCGCTGATTCCGCCTTCAGTTTTGTGCCATGCTGTGAGGCCAACATCAGTGGCACATACAATGTGACACTCCAATGACGCTTCAGTAAAGCTCTGTTTAGGTGTTGCTGAGGGTGAGCTTTCTCAAGCCCTCTGCCCCTCTGTGTCTGTGCCA